AAACCATCTCATTACTTTCTTGTGCTCTACCAGGTGTAGGTTCCATGCTGGAGCTGCACAATAGGGCTGATCTAAAATATGCAGTGAACTTTTTTTCAGGTTCCATGCTGGAGCTGCACAATATGACTGATGAAAAATATGCAGTGAATATGTTTTGTTCAAAGATATTTATGTTTGGGCTCAAAAGCCTCTCAGGTCTGCCTGCTTTGCGTTACTCATGTCTGCGTTACTTAGGGAGTGAACAAGTTTCACAACTACTTCTGCATTGTTAAATTTCAGTGGTAATCTAATTAGATTTATATCTGCACTGTGCTAAGTAATGTTCAAGCAGTTTGTCGATCATTTCTCTTTTACAGTGACATTCCTTCTCTTCTGGAACCTGTAAGCATTTTACCCATGCACATGATTAATGAAGGAGTCTTTGGCCATGATTTTAAAAGCTGATGTGATTCTGTTTGTGCATGCCTCTGGTGTTAAAGCTAGTTTTAAATCATCTTTCTGTTTTGACTACAGCTGCATACTTTCAATAACTGTACTGTCGTTCAAGTCTCCTATTTAGTCTGTTCTGTAGCCAATCAATATAAATAAAAAACTTATGTTGGTCAGTCTGACCAGAGACCAAAAATAATGTGTGGTTATATAACGCTAAGTAAAACCCAATAAGCTGTTAAAAAAATACTAGTTGGGTTCTGAGATACTCTTCAGAGGCCTACAAACTTCTCTTTGCAGATATGAAAAATATAAACTTCATCTTAATAATGAGTCATGCCAAAATTCCATATTATATAGTATGGATCTAAAACACATTCCAAATTAAAAATAAGAAATCTATAACCATCTTAGCAATGTATAAATATATATGTATGCGCGTATTTTAATAATTACATATTTTAATAATTATATATAAACGACTAATGCAAAACTTCCTAAAAATCTACAAGGTGACTACATGGTCAAGTAACAGTAAGCAGGCGATGAGTCACAATAACGTGGCTGAAGTATGTTGACCAGACCACACATTAGAAATTGAAGGGACGACGACGTTTCGGTCCGTCCTGGACCATTCTCAAGTCGATTGAGAATTAGGAGGAAGAGCTCCCAGAACTCCATCCAGGTACAAACCTGGATGGAGTTCCTGAGATTCACAATCGACTTGAGAATGGTCCAGGACGGACCGAAACGTCGTCGTCCCTTCAATTTCTAGTGTGTGGTCTGGTCAACAAAGTAACAGTAAGTATGCTCCTTACTTGTATTCATTAAGAGATCAATTCTCAATGACGTGTAATGGCATTCCCTAGTTATCGTATGGTCACCATAATATTGGAAATAAATAATTATCACAAGAAATAAGATAATCTTACTGGAGATAACTAATACAGCAAATAATAATTATAAAACTATCTCAAAACTATCAAGTATGAAAATAAACAAAAAATTAACAAATGCTAGCAAGGGAAGATCGGTAAAATGTTGATGAGGAGCACTACATGCTTGCCAGGATGTTATGAGAGAAGGGGGGAATTAAAATTACATTAAGACCCTCCATATATGAAGAATGCATTCAGGAAAACCTTGCAATCTACTAAATTAAGCTAATATGGAAAATATTGTGTTACATTCCTATGATTTTAAGTGGTGATGTCATGGTTGGGTTGATGTACAAGTACAATTGAGGGGTTTTGGGGGAGTGGAGGTCATTTGATGGAGTTATGTTGTGCTGTACATGGTTTGTACCTGGATGGAGTTCTGGGAGCTCTTCCTCCTAATTGTTGTGACAAATTGTCTTTTATAGTAACATTTCCACTCTTCTCCAGCCTGACATGAATTACTATATCCCATTGTTTCCTGTTTAACAGGCATCTTACTCAATGTTACTCAGTCATTTCTTCCCCATTATTTCTACTTAACATTCGTTTTCTTCCTTTATTTTTGGGTGTTATAAAATCATGTTAGTTAGGCATGATTTTATTTTCTGTATGTACTGCATAATCCAACTACTACAGAACTGATCCTCTCAAGAGAGGGATACAATGGAAATTTTATAACTTCGGCACAACACAGATTCAGAGGGGAAAATCATGCTTAACAAACTTGACTGAATTCTATGATGGTCACCAAAATAAGATGAGAAGGAAAGATTTTGAGAAACTTCCTCACAAAAGACAAGAACACAAGATGGAGAGACAAGCAGGGATAACAGGAAAGGCACTGGACTTGGTATGGAGTACTTGATGGATAGGAAACAAAAGGGATATAGCCAGAGTATATGTCGGGGCTGAAAGGAATGGAAAGGGGTGTTCCACAGGGCTTTGTCTTGGCACCATTGCTCTTTCAATTTAGGTATATAACCTTGCAGAGGGAGTGAACTCATACATGCTGATGCTTGCAGATGACGTAAAGTTAATGAGAGTAAGCACTGAAAAGGACTGTAGGGTGTTGCAAGAAGACCTTGACAAACTTCAGAATGGCAGCTGGAATTCAATCCAAATAAGTAATGAAAATGGGTAAATGAAATAGGAGACCTGTATTTAACTACACCATGTGGGGAAGATAACTACAAGTAAGTAAGTAATTATCAAAAGAAGGCACCAAACCGGGAAGGCTATGTAGCACCATCAAATACGCAAAATAATCAGAGGGCGCTAAATATCACCAAGGATGCCAAAGATAACTACAAGAAGCAATAAGATATTGGGAGTAGAAATAATCAATACTAACACCAGCTTATGTGAACAGAATAACATCAGCAGCATATGGAAAATTAGCAAACAAAAAAAGAATCTTTTAAAAGTCTAAACATGGAAACTTTGAAGTTCATAAACAATGCCTATATGAGACTATTACTTAAATATGCAACACCGGCACAGGACTCGCACCTTGTAAGCACAAAGAATACTGCAATTAGTACAAGAATGGATAGAACTTGGCTATGAGAGCAAGTTGAGAACTCACCCTCACAGCCAGAGAAGAAATTAGAAAGTGATATGATCACTATATAGAAGATCCTGAGGGAAAGAGACAAAGTGGACAAAGGAAGCCCATTTAAAATAAAAGGATGGTAAGACAGGGGACACATAAGAGGAAACTGGATGCACAATTGAGTCACAGATGCAAGAAAGTTCATATTCCCTGTACAAGTGGTCAGCAAATGGAATGCACTGAAGGTAAAGTTCTTAAAAGCCATTTCCATCCACAACTTCATGAAAAAATATATGATGAAAATGTTAATGCTGAGGGTGGTAATTAGCACACCAGGTATAAACAGCTAGGAGGTAGGACATAAAAGAGCTAGATCTCACTTCCCTGTAGCCACTGGTAGGTATGCACTAGTTTTGTTTTGTCTCAATACTTGATGTGCTTCAAGAAGTATGGATTTAATGAGTTGTGTAAGAGTAAATGATTATCTATATCTCTGTAGAAGAAATAACTTGAAAATTTATTCAATAAATATTTTAAGTTAAGCATACATTAATCTGTGTAGGGGATTCTACTTTTTATGTGACTAGGTCATGCAGCAGAGTAGGTCAATCTGTCCACCCATGAAGCACAATATTTGAATCTGCATTATGATGCAAAAGAAATATATGGTAGAATGTTTTGGGGTTAATTTGGTTTAGATCGCGTGCAAATGCGCTATTGGAACACGGTTAAACTTAGCAGCTGACAAATTAATGCACAAATTAAAATGGGTGTTAATAAGCGGACAATGAATCACAATAGGCAAGATATCTAAACCAGACAAAAAAATGAAGGAACGTTGTTTCAGTCTGTCCTCCTATCAAGTCATATAATTACACGACAATGGTCCAGGATGGACCAAAACGTCGTAGTTTCTTAATTTTTTGACGTGTTGTTTTGATAACGTCTGCCACCAGTGAATTACAGTGCCACCTTAAAAAACCTAATGAAGTACAGAACACTTGGGTGTTACCGTGATTCGTGATTGTAATCTAAAAGTTTAAATAACCAGGTCAGTCATATTAGAACAGCACCAAAATGGTTTGGTTGCACAAGTTTGGGAACACTTATGCAAAGTGAAGGCTTACAGCATTACAGAGGCATAAAGAAGGGAAGTTGGAAATGTTAAGCTGACGATCGAAGAATGTATGGTGAACAGGAATAACAAACAAATGTTGGGTCGTATGAGAAAGTATAAACTCCACCCAAAAGAATAACAAGTAATTTTGTCATGCATGTTTAAAAAAAATATTTTGTGACTTGGACAATGAATTTGATCTTCATCTTTTAAATAGTTCTTTAAGTGTGTATGTAAGTACATACATATTATGTTTTTAACACACATACAATGGGGAATTTAGTTTTGCAACTAAAAATTACTTGGTTTGCCTTTCAATATCTCTACATGCTTAGCCAACTCATGAAAAATAATAAACATGAGGAAGCTGGTAAAATAAACAAATGCCAATAGGATACATTGTTTAGGCTTCATTTTCTTTTCATGAGCAGAATAGATTTGTATCCTATAAAATCCCAAAGTTTGTGTAGGTCAAATGTTAACTTCCTTATTAAACATTACCCCCCTCCTCACTAATGTTCCCTAAATAAACTACAGAATTTGCAAACACGGTATTTTTTTTATATGGTTAGACATTCAACGGTAAATTTATCCCTAACAGAATAAATAATGGTGTCAATAGTCAATAGCTGCCTACTGAAGTATAACAAATTTTAAATATTAACAGTTTAACTTAAATCTTCCTTTCCAGGCAGCTCCCTTCTTGTTTCATCAGGTTTCAACCGGGAAATACCACAATGGACAAGGCTGGCAATCATGTGGACCCATTACACACACCAACTCCCTTAATACAGTTAACAGTTTCTCAACTGCCTGATCTGCAACTAATGTATATGTAGGATTAAGTTCACATATACTTTTGAGACCATTATTGACTCCACATGTATCCCCATACTGGCAGGAGATACTCATGAGTGAAGTGTGTCTGGAAGGCTGGAGACAAACATCTTGCATATGGACCCACCTGCCAACTGATGCGTGATGAAAGGTTTTCAACGATGACCCTGTAGGGTGTCCGGGTTGGTGGGCCATACCTAGGAAGGTAAAGAAATTTTAACTTAATAGTTTAATGAACAACGATTTACCACAAATTTTATCTCTAACTAAACCCGCTTTCTGCTGTTATAGTGTTATTCCTGTTGCACATATTAACAAAGTTCCTATATTTCCATTCATTTAACAAATTCTTTCAAATAAGTATGTTCCCTTTCAAAACATTCTCAAATGATAAAAACAGCTTTTACTAAAAAATGAATACCCAAAACTCCACAACATGACAAGAGACCCAGGCCATGTTAGACCTTTAATCACAAATTCAGTCCAGTGGAATAAAACATCATCCAAACCATATCACAACTGCTGATATTAAAATATCTACAATTATCTACCTAAGATAATTATCTACCAAATATCTAAGTCATTTCTAACATCCCAAGTTTCACAACAGCACCCATTATACATTATTCACTTCATTACCTTAATATTTTGTGAATACAACCCACACTGGCTTGGATTGAATACCCTATTTGATTTTGCCTTTAGAAAAACTCCCCCTTAATAAAGACAGTAAAAACACTATAGCATTTCATATATTATCAATTCTTTCATTACTGTAATGGAAATTTCTATTAATCCTATTCTAAAAATGTAGTCAAGAGTGTGTATGAATTAATGAGAAATGAAATAGAAAATGTAATTTTGTTCTGTATGTACAATATTGTAATGTGGATGGTTTATGTCAAGAGTTGTTAAAACAAGGGCATTAGAAGGGTGTGAACTTTAAGTATAGTATAATCAAACCTTTTGAAAATGCAGTACTATACAAGACTGGTTTTCTGGCAGGAAATAAAAGATGCGGGATGGCAGAGTTCAGATGCAAGAGAAAATTTTTGATTGCATGTAAATGAACAAATTAACAGTTACATTCTTGGATTTGCAAGCTCAAACCACTCTGAATTGATGAAGGCTTGAGGATGCCCATCGATTGTTGAAAAGGAATACTTATGCTGTAAGAGCTTGGTAATTTGTATATTGGAAAACCCAATCTCAAAAGTAATCTGAACGAATCCATATTTTTAACCATTTTACCCCCGGCAGGAACAACTCGGTTGAGGGAAGGGGGGGGGGGCAGGAACAACTCGGCCAGGGGAAGGGGGGGCAGGAGCAGGGGGAAGGGGTGGGGCAGGGGGAAGGGGTGGGGCAGGAGCAGGGAGAAGGGGTGGGGCAGGAGCAGGGAGAAGGGGTGGGGCAGGAGCAGGGGGAAGGGGTGGGGCAGGAGCAGGGGTAGGGGTGGGGCAGGAGCAGGGGGAAGGGGTGGGGCAGGAGCAGGGGGAAGGGGTGGGGCAGGAGCAGGGGGAAGGGGTGGGGCAGGAGCAGGGGGAAGGGGTGGGGCAGGAGCAGGGGGAAGGGGTGGGGCAGGAGCAGGGGGAAGGGGTGGGGCAGGAGCAGGGGGAAGGGGTGGGGCAGGAGCAGGGGGAAGGGGTGGGGCAGGAGCAGGGGGAAGGGGTGGGGCAGGAGCAGGGGGAAGGGGTGGGGCAGGAGCAGGGGGAAGGGGTGGGGCAGGAGCAGGGGGAAGGGGTGGGGCAGGAGCAGGGGGAAGGGGTGGGGCAGGAGCAGGGGGAGGGGGTTAGGAGCAGAGGGGAGGGGGGGCAGGAGCAACTTGGCCGGGGGGAGGGGAGGGGAGGCAGGAGCAACTTGGCCGGGGGAAGGGGGGGGGAATCCCATCATCTGATGAGGTGCCCACTTTGACCATAATTAGCCTACCCATCACCAGATAATATGTGCTGCTGAAGGGTTAATGAGCACTAAAAGCCAGCACACTATGAAGAAAGCTATACAGTATTCCAAAACAGCTAGACTGGCTACTTTATAGACTCTCACTGTCTATAAAGACTCTCACTCACTAGGTTGTAGCTTTTGCCTAAGCAGTCCCTATATTATACCCTGTTTTATCCACCCACCAGCTCCTCCCAGCCCAACCATTACAAGGGGACCCCCTAAATGTTTTGTATTAGTGGCTATATTTAATATGCAATGTCAGTTCCTACAAATAAATCACTAACATGAATATTTTATTAAAGTTATTAAATATTTATGTTTACATTGTTGAACTATGGACAACAAACAGTGGCCAAATACAAGGAAAAAAAATCATCAGGCAATGACTTGTTAAAATGAAGGCATTGCCAATCACATAATATAATTTTTCTTCAACTGCCCCTCCCCCCCAACCCCCTCCCAAGCTATACAGCTCCTGTGGGAAATAGCATAATTTAAGAATACAGTATTTACCAAGACAATCATTGACTCTTACAAATACATAAATATTTATTACCCAATTTTTCAGCCAGGAAAATGAAAGAGGCGCAATATAGAAAAGTATTGTTACCGATATTAAACATTAACAAATTATCTCTTCCACTGTTTATATCATTCATAATACAATAAATACCATTATAGATAAAACCAGCACTACCACGATTCAGCAGTTTCCACAGTAGCCCGCATTACTTCATAAGACCAAGTAGCAAAAGGGCTCCTTGTGGATTGTCATAGGCACTACAGTAATTCATGTACAAATACATTCACGTTTCTTACAAACCACTTCCACCTAACCTTGTCCACCTAAATATTCAGTGCATTGTTCATACTCACTCCCAGCTTCCTCACACTTGTTCACTATGTAAATATTCAGTGCATTGTTCATACTCACTCCCAGCTTCCTCACACTTGTTCACTATGTGCACTAACCTCACTAGCATTCCATCCTCTAACTGAATACTCTCTCCAATAGTCTACCATCATCCATTTCTTCAATATACCTGAACCATCTCAAACTGCTCTTCACAAACTTGCAGTCAAGTGACTTGTACTCCACATGCATAACCCATTTTTCACATGTATACAACATTATGCCACCAACCTATATTATTCATTTTTAACTTTTTTATGAATCCGGTAAAAGGAAGCTTCATATCTTAAAATACAGAACATTCTAATGGATCATTCATGATCACTCCAATTCCCACTTTTATGGGGGGGAAGGTTATAAATATTAGAAACAATACGGATAAAAAGGCCACCAAAAACCACACATGAGTAATACCATTTATAATTTAGTGACAAGTGAAAGGAAACAACTAGTAGGTCTATGTATTGCAAAGCCCAGCTTGAATACCCAAATTCATCTTCAGAGCTTGATCAAGATGAGGAAACCAGTGGGAAAGATGCAAGAGCAGGGAAAAGGGAATAAATTGGAAGTAAAGGGATGAGAAAAGGAGATGCAAGTGACAATGATAAAATTCAAACAAAATTCAAAACAAAATTTTCCACATTCTATAATCATGCTCAGATTTAGAGATCCAAGTTAAAAATATATTGGAGGCAGCCTTCTGTTAGCGACATGATCGCATACACGTAAAAAACTGCATCAAAATCAATCGCGTAAAAAATTGCTGATGCACTTCTTTCAATCTTAACTCGCACCACAGTTGTGGAAGTCTTGATATTTAACTATACTGTATTTACACTAGCTTTCTGGTGATGCTAAAATATATCATCAATCTCTAAATTAACAAAAAAAAAAAAAAAAAAAAATTTTGTATAGTAGGTATAGTATAATTATAATAATATAAATGTAGGTATAGCTAATTAGGGGACCCTCCAAAGATCACCTTGGCCAACACTCAAAATAACAATTTGCACAGAATTTTGACTATCCTTTGCAAATTACCTGCTGGAAAAGTATAAAGTATACTGGGTATTTGCTTTCTTTCTACAGTAACTGTGTGCACGTTTCCATTATCTTGACAATTATTTTTAGAAATCCTAATTAAAAATTTCCATAAAATTTGCACTGCCATGCAAATTCTATTATCATATAACAATTCTGCAAACATTTTGACCTTGTGAGAAGTGAGAAAATGCCCAGAGTACATGTACAGTACAGTATAAACATTTTAAGTGTCACTGAGAGGGATCCTAAGATGGCTGAAATGCAGGAACGCATTGACGAGTCAATGAAAGTGTTCAAACTTTTTCATGGTTTATGTGATAAGAACAACTTCCTGGAAATTAATAATAATAAACTTTAAAAACCAAATACACAAATTGTAAACAAAAAATTCTTAAAAATCAGTATATATATATACTGTATATGATATGTCTGGAGATTATGTAAGGACTGGAATCATGTGTCTGGGCTCCATTATATAATGGTAAGAGTATAGTTTTTGTATTATAATATTTAGTCAGTATTTTTAAATACCTGTACTACTTTTATAAAAGAATTTTTTTTTTAACTAGAATCTTAATGTGTAAGCTAAATTTGTTTAGCTTTCTTGTTTTCACCAGTATATAAAACTTCCAAATATGCAACAGTGAAAAGGTTAACGAGTTGAGGCAAGGAAGAAAAAGTCACAAAAGAATACAGCACAGAAGAGTTTATAAAAGAGGAAGGAAAAGGACAAAGAAGGCAAATAAAAGGAATAGTAGGGATGAAAAAACATCCAAATAAAGCCAGTTTTGTAGTTTAAATCACAAAGCGAGATTTTGGCTAATTTTTATAATTCAAATAAATATGAAAATTTTGTTTTTAATACAGGCATTCACAAAATCCAAGAAATACGAAACAGACACAGGAACAAAAAATCAAATGTTACTTAATCTTCATCAATCAGCATAAAGAGATAGATCTTAATCCCCCTGCAATCATTAATAAGTGAGCACCTAAGTTTTCAAAGTAATTAACAACTTTAAATTGATAATTCTCTAAAAATATCAGCCTGAGACTTTGCAGGAGTTGGAGAAAGGAGGGGAAGACTATGCAAAGGAACAGTTGACAACTGTTGGAATGCAATGTGACGCCTCTTGCACCGTAAAGTGTGGCCCTCCTAAGCAACTCCCAGAATGCCAGGATCAGTTGGATGTTAGAACAGATGGGTAGAAGAACCTTGGGAGTCATGCCCAATAAAGTAAAGATATCCCACTGATTATCTTTAGCTGTTTAAGTATATATCCACACCATCCAAGTCAAGGGGAATACAGCAAATCTAAAAATATTACAAACAAAAGTACCACCCTAAAAAATAGTTCCCTTGTACTACCACCCTAAAAAATAGTCCCCTTATACTGTTTCTTTTTTAAGAAATCTGTCATATTTGGTGAGCTTTGTGGATATTATTCACCCCAGAATCTTTGTGTGGGAAATGCAAAGATATAGCGCATCAATCTTCAGGTTACCAATGAAGACTGCATATCCTTACCTTTCAGCTTTACATGTAAATGAAATATAATAGTGTAAGTGTAAATTGAGGCACTTGCTTCAAAAACTTCGTATCAAATGAACCATCTCGCTCAAAACAACATCCTCTAGACAAACGGTTTACTCAAATTTTGAAAAAATTATACTACAAAGACTTGGCTCATTACTCATGTGATCTAACATAATAAAAATCAAATCTAGAAGCTTTAAATATGAAAGGTACATGGTACTCTAACAAACCAATATAAATTTATATAAATAACCGAATTAAATATTTTAGAAACATGTCCTCGGCATTTGCAAACCACTGAAAACGCTACAGGGAGACATGAAAATATTCATTAACAAATTCATAAGACGTTTTGTATGAAAATGTATAAATATTTAACTGGTAAAGTCTTATTTATTTTCACATCTAATTATACATCTCATAAAATTTTTTATATTTGATAAGTTTTGCTCATCTCCTTTAATATTTAAATTGTCATTGCATTACTAATCAAATTATGGAATTTATTTGGATTTGATGCAATTGGACTTTTTTAATTAACAGTAGATTAATATTCAAGTATATGTTTTGCATCTGTTTACAGTACACCTAAGAAAAAAAAATTTTTACATTTGCAAAAACACATTTTAAACTTAATTTACCATTATGTTTAAAATATAGAACTTATTACAAATGTAAAAGCAGCTTGAGCATCCTAAACATTTCCCACATATAAACACTGTAGTATAGCAATGTTCTTATAAAAAGTCCTCCTATGTAAGACTTTGCATAAAATGAGAACCAAAAATCCCCTGGAGTAATGCAGAATATTTTGTGTGATTGTCAATGATAATATGGAGCTCCAGCTCTCCTCACTTTAAAGGAGTACAGTACTTGCCTTAAGTACATCATAAACAAAATTTTAAGTCAATTACTTGATCAAAAAACAAAAACGACAGATGCATCGATATTATCGATTGAAAAAATTTTGATGGCAGGATTGACCAATGCACTCCATATAGTGTACTTATATTATGTACGTCTTTAAGAAATAAAAATCCAAAGCAGATTAACATCAGCCATAAGCTTCAAGGAGTTTTTTCTACAAGGCCTGACAGCCTTGCCTTGCATGTCTAGATGGCAACATTATATACCCAAGCACTTCCAACCTGTTTTCATTCAAGCTTGACCACATTGCACTTATGCAATGCCACTTACTGTACTTCAAAAATGAAATGAATCCCATCTACATGGCATGGAATGTTCTTAGCAGCATGTTAATGAGTTCTTGATACACAAATTTTTACTATATACATAAACCCAAGAAATTGTATGGGTTAAGTATAAATCTTTAATATTTAAAAAGTCAGGAATGTAGTAATTACGAATATCTAACTGCAGGAATCGATTTTTATATGCCCAAGGTGGCAAACCACCAGCGAACAACAAATTGGCTAATAAATGTCAATTTTTTAGTTAAACTAAATTTGCATACACTAGTTTTGATATGCTGATGTTGTATTTAATACATTTGAAAAAATTAAGTTCATTACAGAGTAACTACACAAAGTATCAGTCCTCAAGACTAATTAGAAAAAATATCAATCTCTTTCAGATTTTTATCCCTCAGTATTTGATAGTCTAGTCTGTTAGAATCAATGAAAAATATCACTACTTGGGGAAACCTTCCTGATTTTTATAACGCATACTGTATAATTATGTATACAGTAGTGACATTATCTTTCTTCCTAACTCATGTTCTAGGTAGTTTCTTACTCTGCAAATATTTGTATCGAGGTATGGCGTTTTTACTTCTAGGGCTTGTTACATAGAGAAATATTGATTGTATGTTGAAAAATCTTAAGTACTGTATACAACTTGCATGAAGACAAGCTTGCATAAGCCGGCACCCTATTTTTCACCAGGGAATTTACCCTCTAAAATGAAACAGAAAAGCACATCACAACCTTAGTCAAGTACAGTTAAGAGCAGAAGGCAGTAACAAGGAAGGATACAAGGGATCATGCCTAAGGCCACAATCAATTGTTTATGAACTAATTGTGTGGCAAGTGTGGTGATTCAATAAATTTGGCCTGGATACCTAGACCTACATGATAAGTGTGCAAATATACGTAGCTAATAAATCGAAGTTACAAAGAGTCATACAATATTATACATGCTTTTGTTATTTTGTCATGATCAAGAAATTACATTAACTCTTACCAGCCAAATGTTTTGTGGGATGCCATCTTTCTCTTCGAATTGCTGCTATCCATTCCTCTCTCCGCTGCTTTTCGGCTGGTATCCAATAAAAAGATAAACCAGATAACCTATTACAGTTGACACCGGTTAATTCAACGTATCCGTCGTTCACGAAACGCTTTATTTACGATTATTGAATTTATACTTCAGTATTTATTTGCGCATCACCTTCAATTACGAGTTTTAATATTCGTGATAACCACGCATGTGAGAGCAGCCCAACAAAGCCTGTGGCACCATTCCCTCTAGGGTTTTTATTTTTGTCCAGTCTCGGATGTTTCATAGTATCGACCATCCCTTAGGATACGACCCACAACAGTTGACTAACACGTGTACCTATTACTGCTGGGTAAGTTAGAGAAATAGATATAATGGAGATTTGCTCTATTTTAAGAAATTACTGAAGTGCGATCAGAAAATTTAAAGCTTCAGCTTTCGACTGTCTGCAAAATGAAATGACTAAATTAGCCCAAAAATGCATGGGTTTAAATGAACATCTGATCACATTAGACAATGAAAACTTAAAAAACAACAGACTTTAGGATGGCAAGAAAAAAAAAGCAGATTGAACTAGTGCATACGAGCAAGTTATTGAATGGGAGAGTTCAGCCAAGATGGGCAAATATTGATGCAAAAACGTTGATGCAAATATTGATGCAAAATATTACATCATGCAAGATGATGCAAAAACTATTTGCACATTAACTAGGCATGATGCTGGTGAAATTTTTTTATTACCAGGACATAATCAACTGGCAATGTGACTATGGGTTATTCCTTGAAGTCTATAAAAATATTATGACTTATTTTGTGGCACTAATTTCCTGTAATATTAATGTGTAGAGGAAGTTCCAGATATCCAGAGTCAATCAGTAACTAGAAACGTTTTGTATTGAAAGTGTTCAATCTTATTTTGGCAGACTGATGAATTCTAACTACAAGTGCAGCAGATGGGCAAACAGCTCGATGAGTTAGTTCTCGGCACGTGGCATTGGGTGCACGAGTCTACGGGACAGATTCAGGTCAAAGGGATGCATGGGGGGGGGGGGCAGACTTGGGTCGGAGGGGCACACAGGGGGAAAGGGGGGGAGGAGACCTGGGTTGGAGATGAGCACGTAGGGCGGGCACGGGTCGGAGGAGAGCACTAGTGTCGGTGGGGCGGACTAGGGTCGGTGGGGCGGAATGGGGATCGGCGGGGCACAATGGGGCAGACTAGGCTCGGAGAGGTGCTCGGGGGCAAACTAGGCTCAGATCGGCGCATGGGGGGCAGACTAGGGTTGGAGGGGCACAAGGGGGCGGACGAGGGCAAGGGTGTCAGCAACATGCAGGTGGACTAAGTGGGTGGTGGACAGACAAGGTGGACAACAGGGTAAAGGTAGCCGATTAGTGGGTAGGTAGACAATGGTAATGGGAAAGTAGTCGATTGGTTGACTGCTCACATGAACAATGATTTATATTAGAGGGCCTCCTTGACCCTACGGTGTGTGGGTTTGCTAGGGAAAATTTTGCTTTTAACCGAGATGTCATTTAAGGATTTACCTCGTTTCCAAGCTAACATGGGTATTTCTTGTGGAAATGATATTGTGGAAATTGCTTGCAGGTAAAAGTGGCTTTAATGTTTTTTTCAGTCTTTTCAGTGCATTTAATTTGCTAACCACTCTTACAGTACAAGAAAGGCGTACATGTTCACTTAGTCTATTCCCCCTCTCACTATCTTATGTACTTATTTTCCCTCCCTTTTCTCATCCAAGAATACTAGACAGTTCCCTTCACCTGTAATCATAGCCTAGTCCTCTTAATTTGGTCATAAGTCTTTGTAAGCAACCTATATTATTGTTCAAGCCTTGTGTGTGGCTTGAGGTGTGGATTCAATGCTGAAATAATCTAGTACTGGCATCACAGACTGAAATAGGCTGTCTGGAATGTGTACTGTACTTGTTTTATATGCAGATGTCAGGTGTAATGTCCACTTGAAGTATTAAAATCTACTCTATTCTCTCTCTATCCTTATGATAATTCTCTCTGGTTTCTGATTTAGTTTTCACATTATTACTTTTCATTTCTGGATTTCTAGAGTCTTAGCAGTCATTTATCTGAACATTGATCCTAATGTTTGTCGGTCTTCCTGTAATTGCCTGCAATTTTTCATTTGCAATAACTTTACATCTGCAAACATTGACACATACAAGTTCACCCAACTGAGTTCATTCACATAAATCAGGGATATCAATTGTTCAAGTACTGATCCTTGAGGGACATCACTTGTCACATCACTCCCACTCTTTTTTCGAACTTTTAGCCTTCTTTTTGTACATCACATACCTCATTCCAGTGTTTTTCCCCTACTTGACCTAGCTAGTCTCTCTTGTACTCAAGCCCATCATAAGTAAATACATAATTTTTTTTAATCATGTGGTTGAAAGGTGGTGGTGTTTGGTGTTCATGGTGGGAGAGGGAGGGGTAGTGATTGGTGGGAGGTTTGATAAGTGGTGGTGTTTGGGGGGGGGGGGGTTGCGAGTGGGGGGGGTGTTGTGTTGTGCGAGTGAAGGGAGTGGTGGTGACGAGTGAGTGGGGGAGGGGAATGGTGGTGGTGACGTGTGAGTGGGGGAGGGGAATGGTGGTGGTGACGTGTGAGTGGGGGAGGGGAATGGTGGTGGTGACGTGTGAGTGGGGGAGGGGAATGGTGGTGGTGACGTGTGAGTGGGGAAGGGGAATGGTGGTGGTGACGTGTGAGTGGGGGAGGGGAATGGTGGTGGTGACGTGTGAGTGGGGGAGGGGAATGGTGGTGGTGACGTGTGAGTGGGGGAGGGGAATGGTGGTGGTGACGTGTGAGTGGGGGAGGGGAATGGTGGTGGTGACGTGTGAGTGGGGGAGGGGAATGGTGGTGGTGACGTGTGAGTGGGGGAGGGGAATGGTGGTGGTGACGTGTGAGTGGGGGAGGGGAATGGTGGTGGTGACGTGTGAGTGGGGAAGGGGAATGGTGGTGGTGACGTGTGAGTGGGGGAGGGGAATGGTGGTGGTGACGTGTGAGTGGGGGAGGGGAATGGTGGTGGTGACGTGTGAGTGGGGGAGGGGAATGGTGGTGGCGACATGTGAGTGGGGGAGGGGAATGGTGGTGGTGACATGTGAGTGGGGGAGGGGAATGGTGGTGGTGACATGTGAGTGGGGGAGGGGAATGGTGGTGGTGACATGTGAGTGGGGGAGGGGAATGGTGGTGGTGACATGTGAGTGGGGGAGGGGAATGGTGGTGGTGTGAGTGGGGAGGAGTGGTGTTTTGTATTCACCTAGTTGTGCTTGCGGGGTTTGAGCTCTGCTCTTTCGGCCCGCCTCTCAACTGTCAACTGTTTCTACTATTTCCTCCCCCCCCCCCAGGAAGCAGTCTGTGACAGCTGACTAACTCAGGTACCTATTTACTGCTAGGTAACAGGGGCATAGGTTGAAAGAAACTGCCCATCACTTCTCGCTGGCGCCCGGGATCGAACCAGGGACCACAGGTTCACTTGTCCAGCATGCTATCCGCTCAGCCGGCTGGCTCCCTGTGTGAGTGGGGGGTGGTGGTGTTTTGAGAGTGGGATGGTGGTGTTGTTTTGAGAGGGGGGGGGGGGGGGGTGTTTTGTGAGTGGGGGTGTGGATATTTGGTTGTTGGAGGGAGTATGGTTGAAGGAGGGGGGGGGGGGTTTGGTGGTGTTTGGGTGGTTGTGGTGATGGCTGGTGTGTAGATATTGGCAGCCAATTCATAGTTTCCAGTACTTCTCAATATATGTAAATACTATACAAGTAATTTACAGTAAGCCCAAGAAGCTATCGCCATGAATTAACAGGTGTCTACTGTTAATATCTACTGTACATCTACCGAGACATCCCACAAGACATGCTTTTTAGGCACGCAAATCCTATTATTTTAATAGGATTTGCATGGAAGGATAACAAATCTCTGAATGGAGGTCACAACATACACTTTAGAATCTGCCACACATTTTTAGGTGGCATTTAATAACTTTATAAACCCGATGACTTATCACATTTAGTATGACTTTCACAGCATAAGTATACAGTAGTTATTTTTATTTAGGATATGTTCGGATAGAATCAGTCGCAATCACAATCTGAAGATCGGCAGGGGCTGATCGAAAGTATATGGGTATCAGCAAAGCGTGATGTTACATGCACACACTACTAAAGTACAGTACTGTATTTCAAAACTGAAGCAAATCTGCTGAGGTGTTTTCAGGTTATCAAATGTAAATGACACAGTAGAAAGTCCTAACTGGAAATACCCACTGTATTTAATGTAACTAAAAATACAAATTCAAAATCAGCATATATCCAACCTTCAAGTGTTCTACCTTACAGAATTTTATCTTACCTGTCAAGCCAAGCAGGCCGACGATCTCTATCACGATCACGTCCTCCACCTCCTCCACCACCGCCACCGCCGCCACCACCACCACCTCCGCCGCCGCCACCACCCCCACCACCAAATCCAGAATATCCCCCTCTTCTTGGTAGCCCTCTTGCATGTTCAACTGTGACTCTGCAACAAATTTAAAGACCTCGTAAGATTTAATTGGACGTAATGAAAATACAATGCATTTAAAAGGTAAGGAAAACTTATGATTATAATGGACTCCATCGTTTGAACATACTGTACTATCTACAGCAAAAGCATTTAGTAAGAATCCAAAGTTTGCTATGTTTTTGCTAGCTTGTATATTAAATGTGATTTTGTTTTTATCACTGGAAGCAGAGAGAGTCCACTTTCATGCACATTAATACAAAATAATGTGGAAAAAAGAAAGTAATATCTTATTTAGATATTTAAGTTAATCAGCACCAAATTCTGGTACAGCAAATAAACTTTTGCTCAACCAGAAGTTTTCAATTATTTATTTTCAACTAATCACAGAAATCTTAGAACTGGCATCAAATCTTATAATGCAACAGACTGCATAGAGTGGAAATCTATTGAGTAAAGCATAACTTAACATTTGTTAAATGTCAAATGAAAGAGCTTTTATTATATTATTATAGTAATCCTGTTTCCTAACAATCTGAGTTATTTAGAAATTGAGCAATCTATATTCTGAGAAAAAGATCTAGGAATACACATGAAGTCTTACTCCTGAGGGACAAATAGACTTAATGCCAACAGCATATTCTATACCAGCAATATTTTGACTTAATTATAAACTTAAAAGAGTTGACCTGAATAGAACAAAAATTGTGACCTATTTTATTATTTTTTCAGATATGACAAATAATGGTAACATTTTGTTTATCCAAATTTATAATATGCTTTCATCTGACCTTTGAACCATAGAAACTTAACAGGGAAAACAAAGTTAGCACTACCTTTCACCGAGAAGCTCACGGCCATTCATTTCATACACAGCATCATCAGCATCCCGCTCATCCTCAAACTCCTGGAAATTAAAAATGGATCAACAAAATGAATGCTTAAAGTTAGCTAATGAAGATTTGATCACAAGATGAAAATTCCCATAATTAGACATTGAACAAATTACACATGAAGATTATGAAATACAAAATATAAAGTTTTAATTGACTTCAGGTTAAGCAATAAAAAGACATTGAACCACTGAATTATCCAAGTTGTGTTGAGCTTGGGTTATTATGGCATGCTTGTGCAGGTTCCTGTACAATATATGTATATATATATTATTAGCACTGTATTGGACATCAATTCACCTTGCCATACCAATTCAAAATAAATGAAGCTAAACCGACTTTACTGAATACCATGACACTGGTCAATTGCCACTACTGGCAAAATCAAAATTATCTAGAGCCACTACTAGCAAAATCAAAATTATCTAGAGCATGGAATGATATACTTGTTGAATTTATAAAGTTAGTTAGTTTAGTTCATTTATTATGCACCCCATACCCAGGTTAGCAAAAACAGTCAGTCTCCAGTTTTCAAGAAGCTAATAGGGAACGATTAAGGTAGACCTGATGCGAGTTGATTGGCTAATGTTGCACATCCAATATGAAAAGTTACGTTGTATTTAACCCTTGGAGATTTATATAATGTATCATACTCTAGATCTTTAATTAGCATATGTTTAAAAGTATTTTAATGTACATCCATAGGACTATAATTCAATTTCAGGAAATGCATGATTTTATTGACAAATACTGCAATACAGCATATTTAAATAGATTTTGGAATCAAAATGTCCAAAAAGTTAAAAAAATAGACAACCATTGTTTGGCAAGTTGACAAGTTTGCATGTTTCTGCATTAGTTTTTTTTTAACACTTGGCTAAGTAACAGAACGGCAAAGGTCTCGAGCACACACTCGTGAAGCCCAGTATTTCAATCATCCATCATCTCAGAAATACTGATTAATGAAATAATACACATTCAAGCAGTTTATGCTCAAATTAAGGTATGTAAATTCATCTGGATGCTGAACTGATAATTCTTACGTCTAAGTTTGGTTTCACAGACCTAGTACAGTATATTAAATCAAAAACTTTCACAAAATAAATGACAAAACCATTAGTCTCTGGTTTTATCATTTCTAGTGCTTTGAAATGTTAACTTTTAAAATAATTTTTTTTTTTTTTTTTTTTTTTTTTTACAATTTGCCAGCTCCAATAATTTCAAAACTGTGTCAACATTCTAAAGTTAGATGCAGAGAAGAGGAAAAGTTGAAATGCTAAACAGAGATGCATACAAAAGTAAGATTCTCTTGGTAACAGATCCTCAACCTCAAGTGACATGTAGCTAAAAGCATGGTTTACAACAAAAACATACATACCACAAATCCGTAACCATTTTTTATCAAACAATCACGAAGTCTGCCATAACGCTTGAAAAACCTCTCCAAATCTCTCTCCTTACAATTGTAATGTAATCCTCCAACATACACCCTTGCCATACTTTTATCTTCACTCTGGAAATAGAAAAAAAAATGTTTAAGTTATGGAGAATCATGCAAGTTTATAACTAAAACAGTTCACATAAACGAATAAAGAAAATACTTACCAACTTGTATCAAAACTAATTACAGTAGTTACTATTCTTAACTAGGCCATACAACCTCTAACTCCAACTATTGACCTGCATGTTTTGATAAACATTGTTAAAATGCAATTTTGCCCTAACAAGTGGTAAACTCCATATTAAATCAATTGTTTGAAACTATTAGGATATATAATGTGTTGTTTCTACAGCCTATTCAAATCCTAAATTTTTGCATGTACGCCAATGAAACTGCAGACTAACCAATCTGGAACTATTTTTTTTTAGCAATGGCAAGGATAACCAATACTGTATAGGATAAAAGTGGAGTTAACCCAATACTCTATCCCGATTTCAAAAATCCTAGTTACAAAATATTTGTTGCAATTATAACTATTAGACTGCACATTGAGGCCTTTTATTCAACAACTGTGGGGCCCAGTCATCATACACTTTTTTATGCAGCATGACCAAAACTTTATACAGTATTACAGATGAGACATCTTCCATGCCTGGCTTTCACAGCTACATCCCACTTTGCTGTAATTACTGTACACCTGTGTTATTGTGGATACCTTCCTAACCCATCAAAAATTGCCTCCGCAGGAAACTGATCACATTTTAACGAACTGTATGACTAACCATCCTTTAGGATGGGAAATTTTTGTACCTAAGATAGTCATCATTGCATTTATGTTCATAAGGATAGTACAAGGGATGGTGTTTGAAGTTCAAAGTGCTGACGAAGATAAGAAAAGAAACAAGGTTGAGTAAACTTCATTGGATATGATGCTTTCCTTCAGAGAAAGCACATACCCATATAAGGACCCCATATAAGCTTTACCTGTTCACTGATGAAGCCAATTGTGGTCCCAACATAAAAACAAGCCAGTAAAATAATAAGCAGCCTCAGTAGTAGTCCAGGCACACAAAGTAAAAATAAAAACATACAACTCTGACATTTAAAAGAAATGCTTGAACTCTGTAAATAAAACCATCAGCGTGAATGCCTCTTAAAAAGCACCAAATTTGTATACTGCATTTCTACATCATTTTTACTCAAGATATATTAAGTTTAGTATATTATACCATATAGAGTACAAGATACATTATACACATACATATAAATATATGTGCAAACAAGCCTGAATGGTCCCCAGGCATATATGCATATCCTAGCATATATTACACACAGAGATCACACTAACGTGATGCATCAAATGAACAAATCATAGCAAATCTATATGCTATGAACAAATGTATGATTTGTTCATAGCATATATATTTCATGTAGTTATATAAATACATGAAAATGTGTTGATTTACAAGTATGGCATTATTTTACTATTTCTTCTTACATTATTCAAGATGTGTTAACCTTATTAATCTAATAGGATTAATAATAGATATGAACAGATTAGGAATTAAAACATGCAGTATACTCATTAAGTTACAGAAACATGTAGATCATGAGCAAAACGACAAACAAAAATTTAGTTATCTTACTTTGGGTATGGAAGCATAAATAAATATATATACTGGTGAAGGTTGGCAAGTTAAGTTTCACTTCAACCTCACCAACTAGAGGAACACTCTCCCACCACTACAAACAATTTACTGCCAATCCATGAATATTCTATTTGAACTGGCACAGAGTTTGGAAGGCAGCAGCAAGATGGGAGAGGGCATTATATTTGCATCACAGCAGTTCTGTGAGAACTAATGACTGCTAATTTTTTACAGCACGGCCACTCAGTCCAGAGACCTTCGACGGTCACAGGCCCACCCTGATGACACTTATCTCCAGTTAACCACATCACTAGCCACGGTCTGCACACGTACACAATGAACCCACTCACAGACGCAGTTTACTATGCAAGGGTTCCACAAAATGTGCTTCGCTAATACAGTACTACAATACTAAATAGTTTAGAGACGGATTTCTCTAAATTGCTAGTATAACTATAATTAATATTACATAAGAACATAAGAACATAAGAACAAAGGTAACTGCAGAAGGCCTATTGGCCCATACGAGGCAGCTCCTATTCTATAACCACCCAATCCCACTCATATACTTGTCCAACCCGTGCTTGAAACAATCGAGGGACCCCACCTCCACAATGTTACGCGGCAATTGGTTCCACAAATCAACAACCCTGTTACTGAACCAGTATTTACCCAAGTCTTTCCTAAATCTAAACTTATCCAATTTATATCCATTGTTTCGTGTTCTGTCCTGTGTTGATACTTTTAATACCCTATTAATATCCCCCCGGTTATGTCCATTCATCCACTTGTAAACCTCTATCATGTCACCCCTAACTCTTCGCCTTTCCAGTGAATGCAACTTAAGCTTTGTTAATCTTTCTTCATATGAAAGATTTCTAATTTGGGGAATTAACTTAGTCATCCTACGCTGGACACGTTCAAGTGAATTTATATCCATTCTATAATATGGCGACCAAAACTGAACTGCATAATCTAAATGGGGCCTAACTAGAGCAAGATATAGCTTGAGAACCACACCAGGTGTCTTGTTACTAACGCTGCGATTAATAAATCCAAGTGTCCGATTTGCCTTATTACGAACATTTATGCATTGATCCTTTTGTTTTAAATTCTTACTAATCATAACTCCCAGATCCCTTTCGCAATCCGACTTCGCAATCACAACACCATCTAGCTCGTATCTTGTAACTCTATCATCATTACCTAACCTCAGAACTTTACATTTATCAGCATTAAACTGCATCTGCCAATCCTTTGACCATTTCAAAACCCTATCTAGATCAACTTGAAGTGATAGTGAGTCCTCCTCCGAATTAATTTCCCTACCGATTTTCGTATCATCGGCAAATTTGCAAATGTTGCTACTCAAACCTGAATCTAAATCATTTATATATATTATAAACAACAGAGGTCCCAGGACAGAGCCTTGAGGCACTCCACTTACAACATTTTCCCACTCTGACTTGATTCCATTTATACTAACTCTCTGTTTCCTTTGGTATAGCCATGCCCTAATCCAGCTTAATATAGCACCCCCAATACCATGAGACTCTATTTTTTTAATCAGTCTTTCATGTGGCACTGTATCAAAAGCTTTGCTAAAGTCAAGGTATACAACATCGCAATCCTTACCACTATCAACTGCCTCAACAATGCTAGAATAAAAAGATAACAAATTTGTTAAACATGAACGGCCATTTATAAAACCATGTTGCGACTCAATTATTAATTTATGTTTTTCAAGATGAAGACGAATTTTATTTGCTATTATAGATTCGAGTAACTTTCCCACAATAGACGTTAGGCTAATTGGTCGATAGTTAGACGCAAGTGATCTATCTCCTTTCTTAAAAACTGGTATCACATTAGCAACTTTCCAAAACTCTGGCACTCTGCCTGACTCTATTGATTTATTAAATATGGTTGACAGTGGGTCACAAAGCTCCTCTTTGCATTCTTTAAGCACCCTAGCAAACACTTCATCCGGCCCTGGGGATTTGTTTGGTTTGAGTTTTACTATTTGTTTAAGAACATCCTCCCTGGTAACTGCTAAACTCGTCAACCTGTCCTCGTCCCCACCCACATAGACTTGTTCGGCTGAAGGCATATTGTTAAGTTCCTCTTTAGTAAATACAGATACAAAATATTTATTAAAAATACTACTCATCTCTTCATCACTATCTGTTATTTGACCTGTCTCAGTTTTTAATGGACCTATCCTTTCCCTAGTCTTAGTACGATATAACTGAAAAAACCCTTTAGGATTTGTCTTTGCTTGCCCTGCTATGCGAACTTCATAGTTTCTTTTTGCTTTCCTTATCTCTTTTTTAACATTTCTGTTAAAAATTACTGTTAATGACAATCAAATGTCACCTTAAGTGGTTGTACTAAAATTGCCATCCTCAACCCCCCCCCCTCACATCTATTTCTATAATTTTGATAACTCCACAAAGGCATGTTTACACGTCATAACATCGGTATAAGCGATATACAGAATATATATACTGTACTGTAAATAAGTATATTTGAATCTTAGCGATATATTTTTTATAAATAAAGCTTAGCGATATATTTTACTCGTATACCAGTACAACAAATGTTTTCTTGTTCATGACTCGCTCTTCATTTTGAGTACTGTACTATAAGGATTAATGGCAAATATAAACAAAATTAAAGAATGCAAGGAACAAAAATCAAAATAGTAAACTTTCCAAACAATTTTTGTAATTAAAATACATAATTCCTTGGGGAGTATGATGATATCCTGTCTAAGGAACACTTATGGCCTGATAATAAGTAACTTAGATTATACTGTATTATCTATTAGAAACTACAGTACTGTACTTATGTTTCCTGTCCCAATAGAAAAAAATTTAATTTATGAAATACTATTGCAGATGGAAAGAGTGTATGTTCCCTTTCTTACTATAATACAATTGGTGCACAGAGTGAAATTCCAGCAATTCCAGTGATTCGAATGAAATGTGAGCAGAGGAGGTCAACCAAGTTACAATTGCATACCCATGCAATAATTGTTCAGCACGAGTCCTCAAACAACCATCATATTTCCCTTGCATCACAACTGTTCAGTAATTATCAGATATGTCATCTTTGTTAAATCTTCATATTTGACTTACTTTGAATTCCTTTCTGGTAAACCAACAGATTCAAGGTGGGGTAAAGGTCTGCCAGGGTGAAGGTGCCCCTCTCATCAAGATAAGTACCCCTAATTCACCTGTCATCTGTTGAGAGGTCTGGCACTGACAATCTGACGAGGAAGCATCCAAATCAGAGAAATCATTGGATGTTAAAGGGCAAACTGAAGAGACACCAGAAAGAATATTTTAGTAAAAATACCGTCAAGAGATTTCTAATTGACAAAATACAAATATGGTTTTGACAATTTATTAGATACAGGGAACAAATTTAATTTTTTAAATACTGTAACTAGATTCATTTTATCACATAGCTGTTTAGGAGGTATCCACAGTTCGTCACATCTTTGGACAAGTGAAGGGTATTGGGTAAACGTGATTCAACGAGTACACAGTGCTATAATGAATGCACGAGTACCGTATAGAGCTAATGAGTTTAGACTGTTGCTGCTCACTTCCTGGAAGGCTCTTTACCTAGATTATGAACAACAATGGTTCTTGCCAAACCCTTAAAGGATCGCACTTTCCATTTGGCTTTTTATTTTCAGTACTAGCCATTTATAAGGGACAGTATAGAGTTTTTGTTGACAGTCTAGGAAGAATCAATGTGTCCAATTTTAAAATATTGTTCACCTCGTCACATATCAAAATTGTCAGCCCCCTACCCCATTACAAAATGTATTCTCATTAAGTACACTTTTTTTTCCAGATTTCTTTTTTATAGAATTTTGTAAAGGAAGTACAGTATATGACACTGATCTAATTTAAGGCTTCCCCACTTTCTTGATACTTTTTTATAACTTACAGAAGCCTGAATTTCTTAAAAGATTTGTTATTGGATACAGAGAATCCTTGAAGCCTCTTTAGTAACGGTGCCACGGGGATTCCCATACCCAGATAGCACGGTGCCACGGGGATTCCCGTACCCAGATAGCATGGTGCCACTGGGATTCCCGTACCCAGATAGCACGGTGCCACAGGGACCCCATACCCAGATAGTACTGTACCCCATACCTAAATAGCACAGGGGCCCATATACCCAAATAGTGCTGTGCTCAGGGGGGGACTTTATTAGTATTAGTCCCAGGGGGGAACTCGTACCCAAACGGTGCAGTACCTGGAGGCACTGGAGACCCCATACCCAAACAGTGCAGTGCCTGGAGGCCCGCATAAACAAATGGCATGGTGCCAAGGGGCCCCCCATACCCGAATGGCACAATGCCTGGGGGACCCGCACTCAAATAGCACACCGTCAGTAGCCTCGTACCCAAATAGTAGTGCCCCAACCCCCCCATACCTGGGAGGTCCCATACCCAAGTAGCACAGTTCCCCAAGGGCCCCATAACCAACATGAATGGTAACCAAGGGCACAGTACCTAAATAGCTGTACCACAGAAAGCATTATCATACTCAAATAGCATTATCACTGGGGCCATACCCAAATAGCACAGCCCCAGAGGGGGGCCAAACAAATAGTTCATTCCCAGAGGGGTCAAACACAAGTAGCAAAGTCCCAGAGAAGGGATACCCCCAAACAGTAAAACCCTAGATGGGGGGGAGGGCAGGCAGAAAGACCTGTACCCAAACAGTGCAGGGCCCTTGGGGGACCTCATACATAAATAAGGCAGGGACTGTAGGGAACTTTATTCAAATAGCACAGGGGCCCTGGGGAGAACCTGTACCTAAACATTACAGTACCTGGGAGGCTGGGTCGGGGACTTGCACCCAAACAGCGGTATCCCCCCGGTCTGTACCCAAATAGCACGCACTTAAGCCCTAGTGTGAAGCATCAACCAATATTCTCACCGTACCGTGCGAGGAAGAACTAATAGTCAGGTTTTGTCAGCGTGACCGAGGTAAGAGGAGGGGGACAGGTGACGGGGTGAGCGAGGCAGTGTGAGGGAGGAGGGAGGCGCAAGCAAGCAACATGACGTAACGATCCTGGCAGCGTCTTCCACAATACCTTCCACTGCTGCTCTCTCCTCTCCTGCCTACCTTGCCAACATCACATAAACACTTCTAGCTACCTTACCCAATAACTTCAGCGATAAAGGTACGCGCAGAAGCCGGAATTTTTCGCTCAGGACACAAGATTACGCACGTTATGCAAGCCAAGAGTCTTTATCAGTCCAACATGGCGTACCTGGACTCTGGGCCCAAACACTCCCGCCTCCAGACAACAACATCGCCACACTTACTAGAGTCACAAGCACAATTAAACAAACCACAAAGGTATAACGAAGCTACAACAAACACAGCAAACGGTCACTTACGTATCATTTACAGAGAAATTGTGCAGGTTGTGAGCGCGTCGGTCGGGCGGTGCGGGCGCGGCCGTCCACGTGCTAACCTCTGGTGGCGGGTTCCCTAACTAACACTACTCACCCTAAACCCTTGCCCACTCCTACTTTAGTGTTTCCCCCTTAAACTGTCGATCTATTTGCATGTTTCATTTTTGAATTATAATTGTATTCTAACTGTCTGTAGGAAATAATCGGTTTTATTGTTAAATAGGTGGAATGTTGACGTCAAAGTATTCATTATGAGTTATTGGAACGCATTTACGCGTAATCATTGCCGATCGAAAACTCGTACACTCTTTTAAAATAAATTTGGCAAACATATTTTGACGGATTAATATATATTAAATCAAAATCCTAATATTAAACACTTCACTTCTTTCCGATCTTATACGTTCTCATTTTCTATTTATATTGATAAAGGTTCCCAAATAATCCTGCTTTCATTAATTATAAATTGCAAGTTGTCATGAGTTCATGTTTTCGCGGAATCTCCGTATTAGCTAAATGAATTCTGGGGTTCAGTCCCTGAGCTCATCACGGGAGACATCTCCCGTCATGCAGGGTGCAGTCGCACCTCCACAGATCTCCAGTATCATCTATTGATACTGGTATATCTCAAAAGGGCCACCACTTATGGGCTATTCATGCCCGTGCCACCTTTTGGGTGGTTTAATCTTCATCAATTAATCAATCTTGAACACATTCACGGTAGACATCTCCCGTCACCACTTACGGTGATCTCCACAGATCACCACTTACGGTGCCCGTGCCACCTTTTTGGGTAGCTTAATCTTCATCAATCTTGGACACATTCGAGAAGTCTATTCGTACCTATTCGTAGGCTGCAGTCGCACCTCCACAGTATCAGCTAATGATACTGGAAATTGGTCCAAAGGGCCATCACTTACGGTCTATTCATGCCCGTGCCACCTTTTCGGTGGCTTAATCTTCATCATCATCAACCTGAGCCCATTATGTACCTCTGTAACTCCTTCCACTACCACCCACAGGGTATGGGGTGCATAATAAATAAACTAAGCAAACTTAACTGCACATCACCACAAATGATTAAATTACTTAGCTTGAAGTACATTAAGAGCCAGTTTCTAAGCCACGTGATTGTAGCTTTCCGTCACCATCAACAGGATGGGTGTATACATGTGAGTAAGTAATTATCAAAAGAAGGCACTAAGCCTGGGAGACTGTGTAACATCAGTGTCACTGGACACTTATCACTGATGCTAAATATCACGGAGGAAAAGCATTCCAGAGCTCACCTGAGACGAGGCTAACCATAGCCCGTGCTACTTGCACATGATAAGCAAATTTTCAAATTATGAAACTACCTCTCCACATATGTAGGCTGCTTAACTTTGAGACTGCACTTGTGCTCGTTCTTCGAACACACTGTTGAACCCATTGTTAATTGCAGCTAACCATACCAACATCCCCAACGCAATTAGCAATAGCAGTTTCCACAACTACCATAACAGCATTCCCTAACTAGCCATTAGCAGCATCCACAACTAGACACAGCAGGATCCCCAACTAGTCATAATTGAATCCCCAAACTAGCTATAACAGGGAATTACAATAACATAACATAACAGGGTATTAGATTAAGAACAGCGTAACATAATTGAAGTAGGATCCATTGATTGTTTCAAGCGTAGGTTAGACATATATATGAATGAACAATCTGGGCAAAGATATTTCAAAAGTTCAAACGGTGTTGGGTAATTTCGGACATCTGTGTCACCATATGGGACTGGTGGTTAATGAAGGCAAAACTAAGTTTGAATGTAGAAGTCGGAGATCTATTATATTGAAAATAAACGGTAAAAATATAGGGAGTTAATATATATAAATATTTAGGCATATATGTTGGATATACCCATGAGAGTTTGGAAGCTGAGATGAACAGACTGTTGGGTCAATGTCGGAAGAGATAACAACTTCTGAAGTCCTTGGTATGCTGTGGAAAGGGAGTGAGTGCTACGAATGATATACAGTACTTGAGTACTGTAAGATCTCTTATGCCGCACCTGTCATTTCTTGTTTTGGTAAAGGTAGAAAGTTGAAGGTACAAAAAGAAGCCATGAGAATAGAGAAGCCATTAGGATGCCCAAGAAATGCTATGATTGAATCTGAAGAGTATTGAGGATAGAATTTCAGAGATAAATGTAGCCTCTGCCATTAGATTAAAGAGAGGTGGGGGAGCTAATAATTAATCCTCTCATTTCAAAAGGTGGCAAGTAATGCACAATGTATGTTAAAGTATAAGAAAAGATCATCTATGAGTACCTTATGATCTAATGTTATAAAGTATGATGTTCTTCCAGAATGTATTTCTTAACCTAAGAGACAATTCACACCACCATGGAAAGATTGTAACGTAGATGTAGTAATTATTCCCTTGCAAAAGAAAAGTATGTATGAGATAGTTGAGTTGAGGGCAACATATGAATGTATAATTAGAAAATTACCTACAGAAAACACTACATGAACAAATCCAAAAGGGCCGTGACGAGGATTCGAACCTAAGTCCGAGAGCATCCCAGACGCTGTCTTAATCGACTGAGCTACATGGTCAAAAGAATTCTACCAAAAGTTCTACTGAGCTTACTTGTATATACTTGCCTCAAGCAATGAGACAAGAATCATTGCTTAGCTTTGAGAATCCTCTTATAGCTGTCATTAGTGACTGACCGATTGTTAACAAAACTGAACTCAGGGGATAAGAGGTTCCATAAATTAACAAAATGAGAGTTAAACATGGGTTTATTGAAAACAAAATATGATATTCACCAACTAAAAGTCCCCCTACCCTAACACTGGCAAATGTTTAGAAATCTTGCATGGACAATATCAAAGATCACACAAATTACCTTCTATGTCCTGATGTGAGTCTATCTCCTGAGCGTCGCTTGATGACCTGCGGCCCACACTACCTCTTGTCCTCTAGCCCTTCAGCACTCTGCCTCCTAACTATCATACAGGGGTATATATACACTGTTGTGGGAAAGTCTGGTGTGGTTCTGTTCCCAGCTGATTCAGCCTACACGGGAAAAAATGCTTTGCACACCTAAATAGTTCGTCAGCCCATCAAGGCGTCAGCTCCCCATGGTGTGCAAAAAACACTCAAGACGTACCATTACGTTGTTTGTCAATACTATCAGGATTTTTCATGAACAGGAACAAGCTGACTAGAGTGTAGTCAGAAAATATTTCAATTAACTCTTGCTGAATCTGAGGTCACAGGCTGACCTTACCAGGACGTTCCCATGGTGAGTCATGGGTGTATTTTCTCTAAAATGGTGAAAATGGCAATACGGTGTTGATGTCAGTGAAAAAGATAATGAGTGTAAATTATGTAGTATGCAGCACGCCCACACCTTAGATCATTATGTATTAGTGTCAACTTATTGATAAATATAGAAATAAGGAAATAAGTAGTGTACCACATCAAATTGTTTGGATGTATGATAATGGTATGATAGAAAAAATACCTCGGAGATATCTGTACAAGCATTTTGCTCCACGAGTATAACACTTATATGTTGTGTTTACTATATAAGAACATAAGAACAAAGGTAACTGCAGAAGGCCTATTGGCTCATACGAGGCAGCTCCTATTTATAACCACCCAATCTCACTCATATACATGTCCAACCCATGTTTGAAACAATGGAGGGACCCCACCTCCACCACGTTACGCGGTAATTGGTTCCACAAATCAACAACCCTGTTACCGAACCAGTATTTACCCAAGTCTTTCCTAAATCTAAACTTATCCAATTTATACCCATTGTTTCGTGTTCTGTCTTGTGTTGATACTTTTAATACCCTATTAATATCCCCTTTGTTAAGTCTATTCATCCACTTGTAAACCTCTATCATGTGATCCCTAACTATTCGCCTTTCCAGTGAATGCAATTTAAGCTTTGTTAATCTTTCTTCATATGACAGGTTTCTAATTAGGAACAGCCTCGTATGGGCCAATAGGCCTTCTGCAGTTACCTTTGTTCTTATGCTCTTAATTTGGGGAATTAACTTTGTCATCCTACGCGGGACACGTTCAAGTGAATTTATACTCATTTATATATAGTACGGCGACCAAAACTGAACTGCATAATCTAAATGGTGCCTAACCAGAGCAAGATATAGCTGAAGAACAATACCAGGTGTCTTGTTACTAACGCTTCGATTAATAAAACCCAGTGTCCTATTTGCTTTATTACGAACATTCATGCATTGATCTCTTGGTTTTACATAAGAACAAAGGTAACTGCAGAAGGCCTATTGGCCCATACGAGGCAGCTCCTATTTATAACCACCCAATCCCACTCATATACATGTCAACCCACGCTTGAAACAACAATCGAGGGACCCCACCTCCACCACGTTATGCAGTAATTGGTTCCACAAATCAACAACCCTGTTATCGAACCAGTCTTTACCAAAGTCTTTCCTAAATCTAAACTTATCCAATTTATACCCATTGTTTCGTGTTCTGTCTTATGTTGATACTTTTAATACCTTCTTAATATCCCCTTTGTTATGTCCATTCAGTGGTGTAGATAATGATAAAAAACAATATTTTGAATTGCATTTTTATTTGTTTGGCTCTATACATAATCAATTTATTTTTAAATACATTTACAATACATAATACAGTACTGTACTCTGCTAATCTTCAGTACTATACTACCATATACTACATATGTATATATAAACTGAAGTAATTTGTTTTCTCCAGAAATCTATGGCAATGCAGTTATATATACAATGTACAATATTTTCTGCACATAAAAAGATGACTAAGTCATAACTTTGTTAGAGCCATTGCCATACACATCATTAATTACCTCATTAATAAAACCTCTAAACCCACTTGAATAATATAATTACCTTCAGTTTTGTAATTATTTATCTATGTATTAACACTCAATAGATGTATTCAAATAAAATTGCACTACCTGTTGATGTTACAAGGATGACTGCTCAGGTTTACTTACATAAAAACCAAGTAAAAAAATATGGTTCTTTCCCTGAAGAGGTTTAACAGAGTTTTAACTGTATAGAGTAAAATGCACCCCATACATCACTCAGGAGAGATATGATTAAGTTTCTTTGGCAAGTAAATATTGATTTTATTGAGCCTCTTTTTTTTTTATCTACCATACTAGGCAAACAGTATTATGAGGCTAAATCAGCATACCATATGTCACCACTGCCACATTAGCCACAACAGTCACTGTACTCTGCTACACGTACATAATAGATCTGGATGCCTTTGTGACAAGAAAACACAAGTATTTGTAACAGTTCTGAAATATTAAAGAGATCACACTAAGGAATGTTAAGAAAAATATACCTTGTCCATGGATAACAAAGTAAGATGCTGGTAAACCATTGCCATTTTGGCTCATGACACAAGTTTAAAACCTTAAAATAATAAGCATTGTTTTTCTAACAAAATATAAATAAGCCACATTCATAATGAGCTCAATGCTGCAGACTTGTGCAAATGATACCGCAAGGAACTTTGCCACAGTCCACAAAACATAAGGTTCTTGTGCTGCAAGACTTGCAGGCCAGATTATGGCCAGCACTGTTTAGCTTCCATAAAACAGCTGTGTTGTAAGCAATGTTCGCTGCTGTTAAATATTGCCAATATTCATTATTATACAGATCAATAAAAACTAAAATTTAGTTATATACCAGTAAAATATAAATATAAATATAAATATAAATATATATATATATATATATATATATATATATATATATATATATATATATATATATATATATATATATATATATATAAAGAATGAATGATGTACACATTTCTCAAAATTTATAACCGAGTTGCTTACTATGTCCAGAAAGAAGAATTCCGAAAAATGCCCAAATGATGCAAAATATTTGATTATACAATAGAGTATGTAGCTTTTTATATACTACATTAAATATATATTTAACATTTATGTAATTAAATAATAAATAAAACATGTATACTTATTATCAGCATTTCAATAACTGCCATATACTTGAGGCTTAAGTTGTACAAAAAGCTTTCATTGAGGCTACTGGAACAAGCATGTCATGCTCGTTGCTGCATAAATGCTGATTGCAGAGATCTTTTATTTTATCTTAATTCATCTCTACTTACTGAACCTTACTGCTTGATATTCCATGAGTTTTTCTGAATATTCCAGAAAATGCCATGGCCACATGCTCACTAGCACAGGTAAAGGATAACAATAATGCGGATGATCTTTGTGACCGGTCTTGAAGTGAATACGAGTGCCTCTTTATCACAGCCGTTTAAGTCAGTATTTTTGTGGATTTCTTTAAATAAAGAACAACCACAATAGAGTCAGCAATGGTTGGTTTAACCCATCCAAAACTCAATATTTACATGGTCACTTTAACAATATGCACATAACAAATCTGACAAATTACCTTGTATATTTGTCATATAAATAAGCTGTTTTCTTATAAAAAAAAAAATGTTATAATACAGTATAAGGTCTTGATATAAGACTTGTTACTGTACGTTACTTTGGCATTGTTTCATTCATTTTGATATGCTATGGAAAACTGCAGTACAACTGATGCACAAATGGCAAAAGGAAGAACAAACCTTGTGAAGACCTGAGCCTTAATTAAATAATTATGACTAAAAGTAGCTTGTTTTGTGATGCTTCTCACACCACGTTCATTATAATATAAAAAGTATATTCACAATGATGCTCTGCCAAGTGTCCTGTAAGTTATCAACCAGTGTGAAGTTCCTCGGAACCAGTGATAATTAACATTTTCAAGCACAGCTAACACTATACACAAAAAAATTAGTCACAATTCCTCTATCACATTACTAGATAATCTCTCCTTCCTAAGTCGCTTAGCATTGCAGAACACTACCAGAATTAGGATTAGGAAGTCCACAACAATATTTTTAAATCACATTCCAATGTAAATGTACTCACACCAGTACCAAAATATTCAAGTAAAAAGATATTGGTTAGAACACCTTTTGAATTCAATGCTGAGGTGCTCTGTGGAGAGAAACTAGTAATAGGTTTTGCAGTCCTGAAATCAGGAAATCTTCAGGAAGGTGCCTTCATGAGGTAAGGTCTCTGAAAGTCAGTGTTGCTTGAAGATTCTTTGTAATACATCCTCAGTGTATATTTACATTTGTGTAAAATCTTCATAAATGAGTTTACTCCTCAGACTCTTCATCGTCTTCAGGAAACTCCAGAATGGCTCGACCTGGGATTAGGCCTCGGCCAATCTTTGCTAAGGCCTCATTGGCTTGGTCAGCTGAGAATATGGTGTGTGGTGGAGGCTCAATCTGTTAACAAGAAAAGTTTAGTTTAGTTCCTTTATTATTATGCACTACATACCCATTCTGTGTGTGTGCAGTAGCAGAAAAGGTTACAGAAGCACATACAATTGGGCTCAGGAACTGATCCCCCAAATTCATTTATCTAAGCAAGTTACAGTCTTCATTGACTAGTTACACTGTTCAATTATACAGTATATTGACAATGGGTTCAAGAACAACCAGAAGTACAGTCTCTAAGCTAAGCAACTTACATTTGTGCTGAGTTAGTTTTATAATTTAATTTGCTTAGCATGCATACTGTACCACCCCTCATCCAGTGGGCAGCAGTGAAAAGGTTACAATCACCCACATCTACTACCGACGGTTAGCAAACTGGGGATACTGTATTTGGCTAAAACTTCTGGTACATAATTTTGAAATAAATATTTACACATTTTTTGAACATTTGTTATAGAGCTGACTCTAAATTCATATACTGTATTTGTTTACATTCCATCACATAGTTACATATCAGCAAATAATGTAAACGCCTAGAGATACTAATAACAAAGGCCAAGCCAAGCAACTGTAACATCTAAGAGTCTGCTGAGTTTATTGAATGTTCCATAGATATGTGACTTCTCTTGCATGCTAGCTAATATGATGATAGATGGAATTGATAGTATAGATTTCACTTTGTTTCAGATCTACAAGGTTTTGTTGAAGGTTTTGGTGTATTACTGTACCCAGGCTGCTTATGAGGAAAGCAAGTATTATTTGTACTGTAGTTAACTTTTTATATGTGCACACATATACACTGCTTGTAAGGATTCCATATTTACAAAGCTTATAAATATATATATATATATATTTTAAATTTTACAAGTTACCCATTAACTTTGTAGTCATAAAGAATTATTTTTAACTAGATTATTTGAATTTGAGAGACATTTATGACAAAAGAGGTAGTATATACAGTATAGTACTTTATAAACTTACTGCTTTACACTACCTGTCATGTTTTAAAACAAATTTACAAGAATGTAAAACTTCCATGTTCTGTACTCTCATAAACCCAATGTACCTTCTTGTACATAAATAAATAAATAAATAAATAAATAAATAAATAAATAAAAAATAAATAAATAAATAAATAAATAAATAAATAAATAAATAAATAAATAAATAAATAAATACTATTCCTGCATTACATGCATTTTCATAAACAAATACAGTATAATATTTTTCTTACCTCTCCTGTGGAAACAAGATGTACAAGATTCCGGAGCTGATTTAAGGTACCAAATTCGATTGGAATAAGGTGGTGATTCTCTTTTTCAGCAACAGCTCCAAAGCGGGATATAAGTCCCTCTGCATGTTCTGAACTCATGAGCGTTACACCACCCTGCAAGATTTACAAAATTACATATGAAAAACTAGTCTTTTTTTTCTTTGCTAAAATCTGTATCAATATACAGGACAACTGAAATATTATGAGTGGAATGGCGACATTTTCTGTTTGTGAATCCATACATCTTTTTGAACATTATTTTGGTGTAAAGTACTGTATATGAAGATGGCTATTTGTTTTAATGGAGGTATACTAAATAATGTAATAAATGGAAAAAGATTGTATGTATTTTTGTATAATGCTCTGAGTAAGTTTCATTAAACACTCATTCTTAATGCAACGGCTGAAAGGACAACAATATGGATACACACATTCATAGTTCTGGTATTGTTGCCACAGTTTAATTCACATAGGCACTTACGGGAGCCAGGCACTTGAGAGCCCTTCGAACGGAGCGTGAAGTGGCACTGAAGTCAATGACGATGTCGACAGGTCCTCCACAGGCATCCTTAGTACGCTCTACTAGCTGCTCCTCATAAAGATCTTCATTCCACTGGACAACATTTACCCTGGGGTAGCAAAGCAAATATGTTAAGGTTTAGTTTCATTACAGTAAATAAGTTTACTATTATATATACAGTATATAACAATTTGTGATATGTAACAATAAATAGTAAATGAAAGTCAGCTGAAAACTTTTAAATGTTATAAATGCTCTATATTAAAATTCAAATGTAACAACAAATAAAATTGATTTTAAACTGTGATACTATACTGTACATGATTGCAATTAATTTCTTCTAGTACTGTACAGTAAGTACTTTTGGAGTACAGTATTTATATTATTTTGCTATTTTATTCTTTTTATCAGATGTGACAAATCCTAACAAGTTTTATTTATAATTTTTGTTTCAGATGCTTGGAAGCGAGTGTTAATGATATTATTAGACTGAATATGAACTATAAAGCCTTTACATTAATCTTAAGCTACCCCAGAAATGCTACATGTGATTAGTGGCTTTATAAAAATACAAATATCTAACAGTTTAATGCAATGAAATCATTGTACTCAGATCCTCTGTAATTTTGTATAAATAAAATATATTATTATTATTATTGTATTAACAATACTTGCTTTAAATATTCCTGTGCAATAGAGATTCCCTCATCTCTAAGACACGCCACATTGATGTTGATACGATCTCTCTTTTCTGGCCAGTAAAAACGAGCAATTCTCATTGCCCAAAGAGCAAGACCACCGGTGCCCACCAATAGTATCTTACACTGACCTGTGATGAAAGAGAGTCACCATACCAATTTTTTATGAGCAATGCAGGACTGGAACCAGGGTTCAACATGTGTGTCAGCAAAATTATTTGCATACCATTCCATCACTATGTGATGGAGTTTGAAAACATACATAAATTTAAAGGTAGCTCTTAACAAATGTTCAAAAAATGTGCCAACATTTTATTCAAAATGAACTACTACCAGAAATTTTAGCCTAATATCCCACTTTCTAACTGTAGGTAGTAAATGCAGATGATTGTAACCTTTCCATCACTGCCCACTAGACGGGGGGTGGTGTGCTTGATAAGCAAATCACATTATGAAACTAGTTCACCACATCTGAATGTTGCTTAGCTTAGAGACTATACTTGTGGTCATTCTCACACCCATTGTTGATATAATGATATGCATTAAACTGTGTAACTAGCTTATCAAGACTAACTGGCTTAGCTAAATGAACTTTAGGGTTCAGTTCCTGAGTCCATTATGTCCCTCTATAACCTTTCACACATACCCATCCACAGGATGGGTATGGCATGCATAATAAATGAACTAAACTAAAACCTTGTTTATCTTGGGATGCCTAATTAAGTTATGATGACCAAACAACACACCAGAAGATGAAGAGACGATGACGTTTCAGTCCGTTCTGGATCATTATGAAGTCGATTGTGACGGGAGTAAGGGAGACATGGGTATTAAGTAAGACAAGAGTGAGGTGAGGAGCAGATAAGAGACGAAGATAATTCCTAGGAGGAGGTAAGAGTAAGGCGAAACGTAAGAACAGGAAGAAAGGTACGAATGTGATGGGTGTAACAATAGGGTGAAGGATAGGTAATAATTAGAGGAGAAAAAAAAAGAAAAAAAAGGGGGTAAGCTTATGTCAGATCATGTTTGTCAGGAAGTGTTCCCTAGATATTTTTTTTTTTTTTTTTTTTTTTTTTTGAGATATATACAAGAGTTGTTACATTCTTGTACAGCCACTAGTACGCGTAGCGTTTCGGGCAGGACCCTGGAATACGATCCCCTGCCGCGAAGAATCGTTTTTTCATCCAAGTACACATTTTACTGTTGCGTTAAACAGAGGCTACAGTTAAGGAATTGCGCCCAGTAAATCCTCCCCGGCCAGGATACGACTTGTATGAATTACAAAAGTCGATATAGCCTTCCCTCCCTCCCCCCATGGCATAAATGGTGGATCAGATTTGAGTGTCCCAATTAAGAATTAAAAATTGATGAGTTGTTTATGGTTACTTTAATAACTACTCTGGATGTGATGGCACAATGCTTCAATATGATATGTGCCTTCCTTATGGCATTCCTACTCACCCGTCTCTCCTTTCTCTGCGAGGACTTTCTCAACGTGTTTATGAGCGTTAAAGACTGTGTTCATGGCCCAGAGTGCACCAGAGGGCAGCATAGCAGCTGTGCTCAGACCCATGTTTTCAGGCACTTTAATCAAGTACTGCACTTCAGGCACTGCAATATATTCAGCATATCTGTAAACAAAAGATAATTTTACAGAGGCGTACTTTGCAAACATATTTATGAGATACCTAAACAACAGACATCATTATTGTATATAGTCATCAATGACATAAGCTCTCCAGCTCTACCAATAACTAAAAAGAGTGCCACAAGGCAGCATCTTAGGACCTCTCCTATTTCTTCTATTTAAAAGAAGGCAGAAAAAGCCCATCAGAAACTACTATCTGATCAGCTTGACATCACACACTTGCAGGCTCCCGGAAAGAATCCTAAGGGAGGGAATCATTCACAATCTCACAGTGAACAATCGTGTAAATCAACACAGCATGGGTTTGTTAAAAACAGATCCTGCCTTACAAACCTGCTCACATTTTTGGAAACAGTAACCAGCTATAAGACATAAGACTTCTGGCAGATGTAGGTTACATGGATTATGCTAAAGATTTTGATAAGGTACCACATGAAAGATTAGCAAGGAAATTACATGCACATGGAATGAATGGTAGAATACTAGATAAAACACCCAGTAAGTCTTCCCCCTGGCCAGGATACGAACTCAGGACAAAGCGCTTGCGAAACGCCAGGCGAGTGTCTTAACCACTGCACCACAGGGACCATGGGGAAAATTGATTAATGGGTCTTTGGGGTCGACTGCTGGATGGAATGGGCTTGGTCTGAAGATGGGTTGAAATCCATACAAATGTACCATGCAAATAAAAAACTAATACTGTATATGTAACTCACTCCCTAATGAAAAGGGACAGAAAGGAATGAGAGAGTAAGGAGATGTGAGAGAGCTTGGACTAGAAAATAGGTTGGGAAAATAAATACAGTTGGTAAAACCCTATGAATGAAGTGAAATGAATTTACTATGGGGTGCCACCTAAGTTTTGCTTTAATAATTTCTTAGGCATGTTTAAGCATGGCAATGGAAGTTTAAGCAAGATGAAGTTGAAGAGTACGTATAGTGGGGGCATACCCTGGTGGATGTCCCTCATATGGGTATACAATGACTCTGTCCCCCAGCTTGAGATCTGTTTCGCCAACTTCCTCTCCAAGGGCGTCCACTGTCCCAGCCACCTGCAACACACCAACATGATCACATCAATCTACCGTAATGTCACTGAAAAGAAAATTAATTCAAATGAATTAAATGATATGCAAGAAAAGCATCCTCAGTCTTGTTACAAGATTCTCTTAACACATTGGTAAGGAAATGAGTATGGTTATATAAGCTTCAGTTTATTCTGTTGAGAAAGTTACTGACCGTCATAACGTGACAGTAGAAAACCTAGCTCTTATAATGGGGGACTTTAAAAATGAGATAATAGATTGGGTGAATCTAACACTAAAAGTAAACGGAGAACAATTTCTTGACCTGGTTCAGGACTTCTTTTGCATATAGCATGTGACAGAGCCCACCTGAAGTAATAGCATTTTAGATGTGCTAACATCAGAAGACAGCATAATCAATCAAATACAGATAGAAGAAAATCTCATACTTTTGATTAAGGCATGGAAGCATCATGGGAAAATTTCCACAAGGTCATCACTGAACTTGTTAATGATATGCTTCTTTCTGGAAGAGCAAACTTCGTCAAATTGTCTCGTGTCCAAACGACCATACAGTACTCACATCTTGTTGAGATTGCTAAACTAAAAGCTCACATCAGTTCTGTTTGGCCTACCAGAAGTCGGAGCCAGAACATGCCCCCTTCTCCCTCACAGAGGCACAGGGAATGGGTGACAATCCACCACCTCACCAGAAAAAAACTCCAGAAAGTCAGAGAAGTTTTACAAACAACTGGAGGGTTTGCAGAAATGAAGCATTGAAACTGCCAAACAACTCTGCAAACACTTCCCTCAAAACAAGGGATTCATTCAAACTAGCTAAAAATTATTGTACCAATTACCATTACCAGGTGGCCTGGCCCCAGCCCTCAGCTATCTTCTCACCTCAGTTCTGTTGCTGATGGGGCAGCATGGGGAGCTGCTTCCAGTCTGTCTGTGTCATGGAAGGTTCAGTCTGCAAGCCCCACTGCTTCAAGCTAAGTACTGGGAATTATTGAACTCTGTTGTCCTGCCTGACTTGGACTGACTTCAAGAGGGCCTCCAGACTACATGTGAGTTCAGTAGAAATTCAGTTGTATAACTTTTACCAAGTTAGGGTGGTCCAGTGGTCAGCTTCAGCAGCTGGGATTCTCTCGGTTGTGGGTTCCAGTCACTTCAGAACTCTAGTTAACTTTCCAAGACTGTAATTTGCTTGGCAAAATGAATTTTGGGGTTCAGTCCCTGAGCCCATGTGCCTCTAATCCTTTCCACTACTGCCCACAGGATGGGTATGGGGTGCTTAATAAATTAGACTAAATACTTTGCACAATTACCTTCTCTGGTGTGTTCGGGAATTCACCCCCAAGTAGCTTGGCCACCAGGGTGGAGAGCCTCGCCTTGGACTAATCAAAGATGTTTGAGTCCTTGGCTGGGGGCATTCTTTGCTTATGCTGTGGTGCATTGGGGTTCGTGTGCTTGTCTATATGGCACGCTGTGTTCGCCATTCTTAGCCTGATTATTTTGGCTGCACTTGGCGACTGTTCTTCTGGTGAGCGGTCCTGATGTCTGGTTAGCCACCTTCAGGCCCTGGGAATCCCCTACCGGTCTCTGGCATGGCCAGGTATGTTGTTGTTGCTGGGTAAGGGGCGGCTACAGTACCCCACTTAGAGGGACAACTGGAGGACAGTCTATCGACATCTACTGACTCCAAGACTCAATAAATCACTGAACTATATGTTTAATAGATCTCTAATCCTGTTGATGGAGGACAGAAGAAAATGTATATATTGTATGCTGGTTAGCATTGTAAATGTGTGGTCACGTTTGTGGTAGAAAAAACTCTGGATAACAAAGCGTCAGGCGTCCAGCGGGGAGCAGAATAAGTCAAAGCCAAATGTCGAAGACAGAAAAGCCCCCTAAACCCAAATGGGTAAAATTCACCGACGTATTCCAGTGATCCCCCAGCAGAGCGGTCCCGGTTCCATCTCCGAAATAAATAGCTATCTACGGGCTCACCATAGCCCGTGTTACTTGGAACTTTTTGTTCCAGGTAGCGAATCTGTAACAACAACAACATCTCCGAAGAATCTGAGGGTACTGGAGACTGGTCTGTGTCACAGACCAGTCTCAATGGTCTGTAACACAGTTGCTGGTCTGAGTCACAGACCAGCAACGCAATTGTGGCAATGTGAGGAGGCCTGGCTCTGGTTCCCCGGTAGGCCAAGCAACTTCGGGAGACCTATTAATATGGAGCAATCTTAGCAGGATAGCTTCAGGGAGCCACTGGGGGTCACCACAAAATGTTATAATGACTATAACGTAACCTCTGGAAAATGCATCAATCCACAAAGAGCAATATAGAATATACGATATAAAGACGCGCATTAATTTCCGCCGCCCAGGAAATCAGATCAACCAAAAGAAACTACGAAAGAAAACTTGCTTAAAACATAAAGACAGATCCAAAGATCCTATGCCGAAGTAAACCCGAAGTAGAGCAGTAATAGGTATAGTAGCTGTAGTACAATAGTAGAAGCAGTTGTAGTACAATAGTAGTAACTGTTGTAGTACAATAGTAGTAGAAGTTGTAGTATAGTTCTTGTAGTACAATAGTAGTAGAAGCTGTAGTAAAACAGTAGTAGTAGTGTATAATAGTATTATGTTAACTGTTGTAGTAGTATTAGTGTAGAAGGTAAGGTAATTATCAGGAGAGAGAGCGCTAAACCAGTATAACTATATAGGTAGTAGTGTAAAAGTAGAAGTAATAGTAGTAGTAGTAGTAGTAGTATTGTATAGTTCCAGCAAAAATTTTGAAACCCACAAAATTCTAGGTCCTCCTGTGAGGAGCAACCTATTCTCGGCTCACATCAAGTCGAGGCAATATAACTATTATTGTACATAAACACTAAGTTTGCCGCACTTGATGATGGCCACTGAACTGAAGGGAATGACTTGAGGACTCAATGTTCCATCATGTTTGTGTACTTAAAGGGTTAACTTGGTGACGACTGCAGTCCTATAAATATCAGCGACTATCCGCATCATTAAACCAGGTTCGTCAATAAAGTAGCTGACCTTGAATTAAGGCATGTATTAATATAGATAATATTCTGAAATAAAATTGGTATTATCTCAGATAACTATATTTTTATGCATAGGTTTATGTTAGGTTAAATAAAGAGGTAAGAATAGGCTATTTTCAATGGAAATTCAAAGATATAGTTTCCTTGCGTAGATGCAACGTATGTGTACTAGATAACTCGTTGGAATGTAGGTCAGCCTACAATTGCCAGTTGTGTACGGACATAAAGTGAGATGACTAACCTCATAACCAGGGAAGAGTGCAGTGTCCCTGACTGAGTGATGCAGTGGTGACCCGCAGTGCAGTGCTTCAATAGACTTGATACTAGAGGAAGATGACGCCGACCTCAGGCGGTAACACACACCAGCATTACGAACCTGTAACATGGAAATGTTTGTTTCAGTTGGCACAGTGGATAATGTGGCTCACTCGTTCAGGCTAAGTACCTTTGGGTCTGGCAAGGATCTGGATAGGTGGCTGCACGGACAGCCTTTTTTCGGTTGTGGGAGACAATATCTCTATAATTTGTAATATTTGTTATCCTTAATTGTGCTCAAAATACTTAGGTTAGCTCCTTCTAACCCTTGCACAGGAGCCCTTCAGAATTTCTTTATTGAAGGTCACTATTGTTCAGAATGGATAACTAAAACTGGAACTGAACTCAGAATGTATCAGATTCAAATTAAAGATCAGCCCAAGCTTCGTCTTGAGGCAAAGTTCAACGCCTTAAGCCATATTGATGCTCTGACCACAGAGCATTCTCTCTGTCTCAAACCATATTCAACTTAGTTCCCTACACCGCCCCAACGGGTACAGCTGGAAGTGCACTTGTCCTGACAGTGATTGATGGATTACATTTTGAAAGTTGGGTCCGTATAAACAACTAGGCCACTACCCCTCAAATCGAACTATTTGCTTTACTTCTTGCACTGAAAAGTGTACGTCTCCAAACTTGATACATTAATTTTAAGTGATTCTTTATCATCCTTAATTGCACTCAACTATTTAAGGCACAATTGTAACATGCTCGTTTCTGAAGCTAGATACAAATACAACAAAAATTATTAATGATGGTAACAAGAGTCCATTTCATGTGGATTCCATCTCTCATGTTGGCCAGAGAGAACTGGATAAACACCTTCAAAGGATACCTGATCAATCAGGTTGTGATTGGTATGTCAGGCTGCGAGCAGCCGTGTCCAACAGCCTGGTTGACCAGCCCAGCAACCAGGAGGCCTGGTCGACGACCAGGCCGCGGGGACGCTAAGCTCCGGAAGCACCTCAAGGTAACCTCAAGGTAAGGTAGGCCTCCGAATGCATGATAGAGGTGATGAGTTAGCTAAAGAACCTGCCTTCAAAGGAGTTGATTATGACTTTGGATTGCCTATAAGCAGTCTGAGAGCAATAATACACCAAGAACTTCAACAAAACCTTGTAGATCTGAGGCAAAGTGAAATCGACACTAGTAATTCCATCTACCATCATACTCGCATGCAAGAGGAGCCACACATCTATGGTTCATCCAATAAAATCAGCAGACTCCTAGATGTTACTACTGCTCGGCTATAAGTATCTCTGAGAATTTTCGTTACCTGCTGATGTAGACCTGACCAAATGTACATTGTATCAACAAAATTATTAGCATGATCTATGTGCGAATAATTTGATACTGTAGTGATTATTCGCACGTCACTATGTGATGGAGTGGGAAAAGATACGTGAATTCAGAGACAACTTTATAACAAATATACAGGGAAATGTGTAACTGTTTAATTCAAAATGATCTACTACCGTAAATGTTAGCCAAATATCCCCAGTTTGATAACTGTAGGTAGTAAATATGGGTGAGTGTAACCTTTCCACTGCTGCCTCTTGGTTAAGGGGCGGCGTACAGGATAAACATATCATTTATAATTTAAAAATAATTCATTGTGTCGTGGGACAGGAAGCCAGAGTGTATTTATCGAGGTCTTCTCCCCCCCCCCCAAACCGAATTACTGACCTCGCCCAGGATGCAATCCCACAACAAGCTAACTAACTCCTGGGCACCTATTTAATGCTAGGTGAACAGGTGCATTAAGTGATAGGAAATGCGCCCAACCAATTCTGTCACCCCCCCCCCCCCCCCACGGGATCCGAACCCGGAATAAAGGATGAATTTTAAAGAAAAAGGGTTCAAATGAAGATATAATAATTAGACTAACTGATTAGTCAATAATTGACATGAGTGGCAGAACGAAGATACCTTGACCCTGGCTCCTGCTGGTGGGATGTCAGGCATGGGAGTCTCGAAGCTGAATATACATTCCTTAAGCGTGTGGCTGGGACTCTCGATGCTCACTTGCTTCATGAGGCGCGCCATTTCCTCCTCACTCGTGCCGCTCGCCCTGCACACACATAAACATGTATTTAATTACCTATGTTTAAATTGGCTGAAATTTCATTAAATTTATGTACAGTATATTAATCCCTACCTTATTTGTCGGGAACAATTTCTCATTATCCTCAACACTGAGACATTAAAACTGAAAAAGAAATCGCATTGGAAGTTCAGTGGTCAAGCCTCGTGTATTGAGGGGTTGAACTGACTACCATAAACCGTAGTCGTGCGTGTGTGTGTGTGTGTGTGTGTGTGTGGAAATCACGAAAATTAACACTTGATGAAAAATGTGACAGTGTCAGACAACGAAGGAAGAATTGAAGCAGGAATTTCTTTAAGTACTTTCGTATTTAATAATACATCTTCAAAAGGGTGAAGGTACCCTTCTGAAGATGTATTATTGTGACACAATTTACTTAAGCAAATGCATTTCAAAACTACATTCAGTTTCAGTATCAGCTGTAGTCACATTCAGTTTCATATACTCATTGAAATGAATCAATTCATTCCTAAGGCTTGGTTCCGGATAAAAATAAATTAAGGGTTGTTCAACCTGTTGCAATTCTTCTTGAACTGCAAAAAGAATTGTCAAGAAGAATTTATACTTCGTGCTGAATTGTGAGTAAACATCCATTAGTTGTGACAACGTGACATCTTTTACAACCAAGGTCCACCAAAGTTAACATTTTTGCCCCCATTGAGAGTGCCCCTCCAGTTTCACCAATCTTTTCATCTACGTCTCAGTCTCGCTCTCCACTGTCTGGGTTATGCAGGAAAATGGTCATACTGGACGTATTTTGTTCAGTACTCAATGGGGTTTGGGAACTGGAAAGATATCAGCTTTCCTCCATTTTTGCATGGGAGTACCGATAATGGTGAGCACTAATTGCCCAACATTTCCAAAAATTCTTGATTGTTGATAATGATACCATAGCTCTTCCAGCTGTATTAGTGATTTTATTTTGGATTGTTTGGAATTCGTTAATCCTCAAGGAATGATCACTTCCATTTACCCTGATCTAATCTTACCTAGCCTAATCTATTCCCACCTGGCCATAAGTCCTTAGACTAATCAAAGTACATAAAGCCTAATATATCTAACCTCAATTAGTCTAATCTAACCTAATCTAATCGTACCCTGTCGAATCTAATTACCAACTAGCTTAGTCTATGCCTCCACTTCTTATATAACTTCAACTAGAATAATCTAATAATAAAGTAGCTTAATCTAACCAAAGCTAACCTCACTTGTATAAATATAAATTCACCAAGACCACTCTTATTATATAGCGCTATGTAACATTAACTAGACTAATATAACCTCACCTAGTCTAATAAAACCTCAACTAGCATAAACAATTATTAAATTATGATTCAAATACAAAAATGACAAAACAAAAAACGAACGCGAAGAACCCGTACTGGAAACAACAAGTAAAGGCGCCGTGTGATAAAGAAGTAAGGAAAGGAGTAGGGTGGCCAGCCAGACATCGCCCCACCAAATGTGACTGATGTGGCTTTAGTGAGGCTAAAGGAGATAGGAATTAGGGCTAAACATACGCCTTGTTAAACCCGGACCCCTATAATGCGTACCGTCGCTCTGGGTCCATGGCGGGGGGTCGGTCGCCTGGGGGGAATGTCCACCACCAGACGCCTCCTGTCTCCCATGGTGGGGCTGTCTTCATATTTCAAAACACACACACACAAGGTAGACAAGGTTGGATTATTTAACACGGGTGGTACACGTACAAGGGGACACAGGTGGAAGCTGAGTACCCAAATGAGCCACAGAAACATTAGAAAGAACATTTTTAGTGTCAGAGTAGTTAGTAAATAGAATGCACTTTGAAGTGATGTGGTGGAGGCTGACTCCATACACACTTTCAAATGTAGATATGATAGAGCTCGAGATGCTCAGGAATCTGTACACCAGTAGATTGACAGTTGAGAGGCGGGACCAAAGAGACGAAACCTGTTTAAGAACCCGTGACGCAACCTGTCTAAGAACCCGTCACGCAACCTGTCTAAGAACCCGTGACGCAATCTAAGAACCCGTGACGAAATCTAAGAACCCGTGACGCAACCTGTCTAAGAACCCGTGACGCAACCTGTCTAAGAACCCGTGACGCAACCTGTCTAAGAACCCGCGACGCAACCTGTCTAAGAACCCGTGACGCAACCTGTCTAAGAACCTGTGACGCAACCTGTCTAAGAACCTGTGACGCAACCTGTCTAAGAACCCGTGACGCAACCTGTCTAAGAACCTGTGACGCAACCTGTCTAAGAACCCGTGACGCAACCTGTCTAAGAACCTGTGACGCAACCTGTCTAAGAACCCGTGACGCAACCTGCCTAAGAACCCGCGAATTAAAATATGAGTGTGACGTTCGCTGTCTAAAAGTCTGTGACATACCCTGTCTAAGCTAATTATATACACTAACAGCCAGTGACGCACCCTGTCTAATAGCCAACAACGTTCAACATCTAACAGCCAGCGACGTACACCCAAGAACCCACAATGTCCACGGTATGCGAACCAGTTGAACACAGTAAGAACGAATGACTTACAAGGTTTAAGATCCAGTTGTTTTAGATTTAGCTCCTCATAACGAAATGTCCATGTAGCACGGGCTATAGTGAGCCCGTAATCCGAAGATCCAGTGACGCATCTTCTTTTAATAGATGACTGGCTTCCGGTGAGAGGTGGTCGGGGCGGCCAGCAGCAGCTGGTGACCGTCTTGGTGTTCAGTACGGCGTGCTGCAACTGTCAGACTGAAGCTCACTAAGCACCCTTACTAACCAGATCAGTTAACCTGCTATAGGCGCCCACCCTCCTGCTGGCCCTGTCATCACCCACCCTCCTGCTGGCCCTGTCATCACCCACCCTCCTGCTGGCCCTGTCATCACCCACCCTCCTGCTGGCCCTGTCATCACCCACCCTCCTGCTGGCCCTGCCTTCACCCACCCTCCTGCTGGCCCTGGCTTCACCCACCCTCCTGCTGGCCCTGTCATCACCCACCCTCCTGCTGGCCCTGCCTTCACCCACCCTCCTGCTGGCCCTGGCTTCACCCACCCTCCTGCTGGCCTGGCTTCACCCACCCTCCTGCTGGCCCTGTCATCACCCACCCTCCTGCTGGCCCTGTCATCACCCACCCTCCTGCTGGCCCTGCCTTCACCCACCCTCCTGCTGGCCCTGGCTTCACCCACCCTCCTGCTGGCCTGGCTTCACCCACCCTCCTGCTGGCCCTGTCATCACCCACCCTCCTGCTGGCCCTGGCTTCACCCACCCTCCTGCTGGCCCTGGCTTCACCCACCCTCCTGCTGGCCCTGCCTTCACCCACCCTCCTGCTGGCCCTGTCATCACCCACCCTCCTGCTGGCCCTGTCATCACCCACCCTCCTGCTGGCCCTGTCATCACCCACCCTCCTGCTGGCCCTGGCTTCACCCACCCTCCTGCTGGCCCTGGCTTCACCCACCCTCCTGCTGGCCCTGGCTTCACCCACCCTCCTGCTGGCCCTGTCATCACCCACCCTCCTGCTGGCCCTGTCATCACCCACCCTCCTGCTGGCCCTGGCTTCACCCACCCTCCTGCTGGCCCTGGCTTCACCCACCCTCCTGCTGGCCCTGGCTTCACCCACCCTTCTGCTGGCCCTGGCTTCACCCACCCTCCTGCTGGCCCTGGCTTCACCCACCCTCCTGCTGGCCCTGTCATCACCCACCCTCCTGCTGGCCCTGTCATCACCCACCCTCCTGCTGGCCCTGGCTTCACCCACCCTCCTGCTGGCCCTGGCTTCACCCACCCTCCTGCTGGCCCTGGCTTCACCCACCCTCCTGCTGGCCCTGGCTTCACCCACCCTCCTGCTGGCCCTGGCTTCACCCACCCTCCTGCTGGCCCTGTCATCACCCACCCTCCTGCTGGCCCTGTCATCACCCACCCTCCTGCTGGCCCTGGCTTCACCCACCCTCCTGCTGGCCCTGGCTTCACCCACCCTCCTGCTGGCCCTGGCTTCACCCACCCTCCTGCTGGCCCTGGCTTCACCCACCCTCCTGCTGGCCCTGTCATCACCCACCCTCCTGCTGGCCCTGTCATCACCCACCCTCCTGCTGATCCACCCCTGTTCCATGTGTGTACTCACCTATTTGCGCCTGCAGGACCGAACATTAGCTCTTGGATCCCGCCTTTCTAGCCGCCGGCTAGAAATGACTTCTAGCAAATTTCCGTCATATCTACTTTTAAAATTACTAATATGGTTTGCTTCCACAACCTGCTCGTTTAATTCATTTCATTTTCCCACTACTCTTACGCTAAATGATTTTTTTTAACATCTCTATGACTTATCTGAGTCCCAAGCTTCAATCAGCGCCTCCTTGTTCTATTGGGAATCATTGTGAACATTTCCTACATTTCTACTCTATCAATCCCCCTAAGTATTTTACACGTCTGAATCATGTCTCCCCCGCTTTCCCGTTTTTCTAGCGACATCTTGACTAAACATTCCCTCATTCTTTAACATACTCCATCCCTCGCAATTCCAGGACGAGCCTTGTTGCAAACTTCTGAACCTTTTCCAGTTTCCTTGTGTGTTTCTTTTGGTGGGGCTCCAAGATGGGGCTGCATACTCTAAGATTGGTCTCACATTGGCAGCATAAATTAAGCGCTCTAAATGCCTCCTTATTTAGGTTCCTGAATGATGTTCAAGCTTTTGCTAGCATAGAGTATGCTGCTGATGTTATCCTATGAACCTCCGGAGTTGGGTTTAGTGTTATGTCCACTCCCAGGCCTCCTGCTGGAGTCGTCACACACTGGTACTTCCCTTCATTGTGGACTGTCCCATTGGTCTCCTGTCACCTGGTCCCATTTCCACCACTTTACATTTGCTCCTATTGAACTCCAGTAGCTATTTCTTTGACTATATCTGCAACTTGTTCAAGTCTACCTGAAGGATCCTACAATCCTCATATGTCAAAACTCGTCTCATTAATTTTGCGTCATCCGCAAACATCGTT